CCATAATCAATTTTATGCCATAAAATTCTATCAATAACCAAACTTTCCCTTACCTTGATAAATGGCATTCTAGGAAACACCAGCCAATATCACATTTAAAGTAAAACCTTGAAGGTTTTAATATGAGTTAGCGAACAAGAGAAGGGGGCCAACTGTCACCACTGCTGTCCAACACTGCACAAAACAGAAGCGAGGTAAATGAAATGCATAAAAGTTGGAAAAGCATGGTGGAATTCAAAGATGACATGATTATCAATGCTGAAATTCAAGGATAAATGATTTGACTTAGAGCGTTTGGAAATATAAATGCACACAAATATTAACATACAGAAAACACTACTATACTTGTATACTAATTACAAACAGTTATTTTAAAATAGAATTTTAAAACATTAATAATAGCATCAGAGGTATCATGTTTCTAATTCCAAATGTAATACAAGGTGCTTAATATCTTTACGGGGGGAATAACATTTTTGAGAGATGATAAAGAAGGTCCTAAATAAATGGATAGAAATTCATGAAGGAATCTAGGATGTTCAATAACAGTCCATATCCAAGCAGATGTTCTTTGGGAGGGTGAAGAGTATTGAGAATTGACAGTCAAATTCAGTGTGAGCATTTGTTCTATCAATATTGAAAACTATTGTAAAGCTACAGTAATGTAGAAAGGTGGATCAATGAAGGGACAGTTATCAGACCAAAGGAACAGAAGAGAGAGTTTAGCAAAAGACCTGTCCACAGACGGACCTTTGTTCCACCCCCACATTTTTTTTTTTTTAGTGTGGTGGCTGTGCAAGGAGTGGAAAATGATGGTCTTTTTGTAAGAATTTGTTTTTCCATTTGACCATGTAAGGAAAAACAGTTCATCTGATAACACAAACCACACAGAACCAACTCCAGGTCGGTTAGAGACCTCAGAGTAAGAGAGAAAACCATAAAAACGCTTAGATGATGACTTAGATTGCCTTGTGGCTTTTGAGTAAGGGGAGATTCCTGACACAGAACACAAATGCACTACCATGGAACAAGAATGACAGACACATTTGACTGCATTAAAACTAAAAACTTAATAATAATAAAAAGCAAAGCTAAAAGCTTTCATTAGATTCATTCAGTTCAGTTCAGTCGCTCAGTCATGTCCAACTCTGTGCCACCCCGTGGACTGCAGCATGCCAGGCCTCCCTGACCTTCACCATCTCCCAGAGCTTGCTCAAATTCATGTCCATTGAGTCAGTGATGCCATCCAACCATCTCAATTCATCAGAAGACACCATAAAAGAGTGGCATGCAAGTCACACAGATATGGAAGAGAAAAGTTTTAGCATGCAAATAGAAGTCCTAAAAATGAATATGAAAAAGGCAGACAGTGCTATTGAAAATCAGGCAAGTTCTTTAACTGTGACACCACAGAAGAGAAAACGACCAAAAAATGACCATAATTACAAAAAAGATTAATAAAGCTGCTTTGTGGGTCACCAGGACCGTACAGGAGACAGCCACAGGAAGTATCACCTCAGTCCACCAGATTGGCAACAGTTGACATACAGAATAGGCATGAGGGTGGAGCCTCAGTAATTTTCATGCACTGTGGGTAGGAACGCTCTCTGCACAGTTGGGTGGGAGAGACTGGCTTCATCTAGGAAGGTTGAGGCTTTATCTAGGAAGAAGACTCTGCCTTCATCTAGGAAGTTTGCATGGATCATGACTCCCTGCCCCCTGCCCCCCACAGACCCTATATACAGAGAAGTCTTTTGCAATGTTCTCACTTAGAACTGCCCACTTGGAGCTGTGGCCAAATGTATGGATAAATTGTGTCACCACTGCTGATAAGGTATGGGGCCTCTTGGGCACATATCTAGTGCAGAGCTTAGAGAAGTTTCTAGTCTTCCTACCTCCCTGTGCAGTCCCTTTCCCCCTCCTGTTGCCTTCCTGCCTTAGATGATCATGTCTTTAACTTTGTACTTCCCTCCTTGTCCCCAGAGTCCATGGCTGTACATCATTTGCCAGGGATCAGCTGGTGTTGAGTGAAGGGCGTACTGTGACTGGGGGGACAGCCATGCTGAGCTGCAAGGTAGCCCAGACCCAGAGGGAAGTGACATGGTTCAAAGATGAGAAGAAGCTGAGTGCCAGCTCAGAAGTGCATGAAGAGACCCAGGACCATGCTCAGTGGCTGGTGGTGCAGCAGGCAGGGAAAGCAGACACTGGGGAACACAGCTCTGAGGCTGGAGGCCGGAAGGTCTCCTTGGGCATGGACATAACGGGGGGTTCTGACTGAGAGCATTCGGAGGAGATGATGGGACTGACTAATAGATTCACTGGACCCTAGTGCTCTTTACATTAGAGTTCTTCCTTCAAGTCTCCCATCCTTCCACTTCTTATGCCCATGGCCGAACCAAGGGAATTTAAACTGGAGGGGCATGTATATGGAAGGGAGCTTGGCCCTTCTTGTAAACTTCAGGTAGTGTTTGATGTAAACACTTACTCACATGTCCCAGCAGCTGTATAGAATCTTCCCCGTATTGAGGACTCTCGAATCCACCTGGTGCTTGAGGTTTGAAGTAGACCAGATGTCTCTCACCTGGGACTATGTGCACATCCTTCTGTTGACTGTTTTGGCTGTTCCCACATCCCTCACCTGCCACCACATGAGAGTTCTTACTAGTGAGACCTGTTTGAATTTCACTGAACCAAAATTAAGGGGACTTTTTTTTTTTTTTTGGCCACATAATCATGCTTGGAATGATCTCAACATTAAAATTTGGTTCATAGTAGTTTAGGTGTTCTGGGAGGCTCTTTTCTCTTTTCACTCCATGTACCAAATTCTAGATGCAGGTTTTGTCTCAGCGCCTGTGAACAGTAAAAAGGAGCTGACTGTTGGTAGGTATGCACCTGTGATATGTGCCTGAGGTTTAGAATGCTCTTTTCAAACTACATGTTGTTTTTCTCTGTCTTCAGTTAGAACATTTGTGTCAGTATTCTTGGAGTTTGATTGGTAAGCTTATAGGTGGAAACGAGTAAGTAGCTAATACTGTACCACTGCACTTTGTTAAAGATGAGTGTTTGTAGTAGCAGCAGCCATGGTCTCATAAGACAGTATTTACTTTATAGAATTTCCCTCATGGTTACAGTGTTTGTCCTCCCTGGCCGGTTCATAGAGAAGCCTGAGATCTAAATTTCTTTTCCTTTCATTAGGAGTTTGTCACAGGTAGATAAGTGAGTGGGTAGCAGATTTATTGTTCATTATACTATTAAAAGCATAAATAAATAGTTTTTAAAAAGAGGGTGTTAATGTCAAATAACTATGGCTGTGATCCTACACTGACCTCTGGTTGCCAGTACCTAACAGTGTGGTATTGTACCTGTACATAATAGCTTGTGGGTATGTATAGATACCAGAAAACTCACTCTGTACCTTTGTCAAATGTTATTAATATTTTAAGAGAATATGACACATTATTTTATGGTAGTCAATTTGAAGAATTTTGGCAATTTGGCCAGTTCCTAGAAAACTATTATCAAAAGTAACACAGAAGAATTAGACAACTCTAACAGTCCTGATAGCATCACCGACTCGATGGGCATGGGTTTGGGTACACTGCGGGAGTTGGTGATGGACAGGGAGGCCTGGTGTGCTGCAGTTCATGAGGTCGCAAAGAGTCGGACACGACTGAGAGACTGAACTGAACTGAACTGAACAGTTCTAATCCTTTTAAGTAAGTTGAACCACAGTAAATCATTTTTCTCAGAAAGATCTAAGCCCAGTGGCTTTCCTAATAAGTTATATTATTTTAGAAAGAAATTAATCCATGTTCAGGGAGATTCTTCTAGAGAATAGAAGGACATACACTCTGCAAATGGTTTTCTGTAGGTAACATAACATGGTCACCAAAATCTGACAAGGAATGTACCAATAATTAAAATTACAGGTCAGTTTATTATCGCTGTCAAAGGAAAACCCTAGACAAAATATTAGCAAACTGAATTCAGCAATATATCAAGAAGACAATACACTGTGATAAAGTTTTACTCCCATATTGCAAGGATTATGTAGCTTCAGAAACAAAGCAGATCAATACAAAGCATGAAATGTTAGAAGAAATAATAGATTACATGGATATCAATTCAGAAAATCTAAAAGATTAATTAGACTTAGTATAAGAGTTGAGAAAAGGGAACCCTCTTACATTGTTGGGGGGAATGCAAACTAGTACAGCCACTGTGGAGAACCCTTAANTGTAAAGTAATTAGCCTCCAACTAATAAAAATAAATGGAAAAAAAAAAAACAAAAGCTTGAGTGAAAAGGCAAGTTATGCAGATGGGTACAGTATTCGCAAACTGCATCATTTGTCAAATCTCCAGCACTTAAGCATGTGACGAGATCTGGAGAATGAATAAGGGGGAGACAGAGAATGCTACTGAAAATCAGCTGAAACACTGGAAGAGTGACACCACAGGAGAGCAGACAGTAATGGCCAGAAGACTGAAAATGCCGCTCCACGTTCTGAGTCACGAGTGCCGTGCAAGAGGCAGCCAAGGGGGTCTGACTTCCCACCCACCCGACCGGCCACAGCTGACATGCTGAGCATAGACCAGAGGCTGGAGGCTCCAAACCGTGTCTGCACTGCAGCTGGGCATGCACTCCTCCCTGAGCTGGCCTGTGGGAGCGGCAGTGTCAGATAACTGTGGCTGGGGGCCTACACTGACCTTTGGGTGCCCATCTAGAGAGGTTGAGGAGCCAATGCCTCAGGACCCTGAAGCTCTCCCAGAGTAGTGTGTACGCTGAAGTCTCTTGCAGCGTCTTCACCTGGAACAACACGCATGGATCAGTGGGAGAATATATAGGTAAAATGCTGTTACTCGGTGAGAAGGCCACATAGCTAGCCAGGATCTAGAGAAATTTCCAGTTCTCTTGCTTCACCATTTGGTCCTTCCTCCCCAGTGCCGCATCTTGACTTAGATAGTGTCTCTGACCCTGTGCATCCCTCCTTGTCCCCAGAGCCCATGGTGGCGTTTGCGAAGGAGCAGGCAGTGCGCAGTGACGTGCAGGCCGTGGCCGGAGCCAACACCACGCTGAGCTGCGAGGTGGCCCAGGCCCAGACGGAGGTGACGTGGTACAAGGATGGCAAGAAGCTGAGTTCGAGCTCGAAAGTGCGTGTGGAGGCCACGGGCTGCACCCGGCGGCTGGTGGTGCAGCAGGCGGGCAAGGTGGACGCCGGAGAGTACAGCTGCGAGGCCGGGGGCCAGAAGGTCTCCTTCCACCTGGACGTCACAGGTCAGTTATTTGAGAGGCTCTTTTGGAGATGGAGATGATGTGACTGACTTACAGCCATGACAGGATCGTTTCATTGCGTTTAACTTCTTCATGTCTCCCGTCTTCCCACCTCCCATTCTCTCCCAGGGACACTGGGTGGGAATGGTGTGTGTGGGAGGAGGAGGGGCCTCTCTTATGCACCCCCAGTGGTATTTCCATGTTATAATGTTCCAGGTGATCTTTGGTGCCCAAGACCCTGGCTCCATCTGGCCCTTGGGGTCTCAAGTAGACCAGATATCTCTCACCTTGGTATATGTGAATGTATTTTTTGGACATTTTAGCAATATCCAAATTCTCTCACCCAGCATCATATGAGGATTCTCCATAATCAGAGATGTTTGTAGTTTTTTTAACCTGACAAGAGGATTTCGGCCACATAATCGTACTCGGCATTGCCTCAAGTCTGAATTTATTTTAGCTGTTATGGGACACTATTTCTTTCTTGCGCATGGTTGTAGAAGTTATCTGTGCACCTAAATGTTTCAAAATCTAGGTTCCTGTTTTGTTGCAACGTGTGTGCAAAGTAAACCAAGAGAAGAGGATTGGTGCCTTTGATATGCACCTCTGAGATATGGTACATTCTTTCAAAAGCAACTTTTGGGGGGTTTTTGCCTTCAGTTAGTACATTCTGTGTCAGTATTCCCTTTGGAGCTTGATTTACAAACTTAGAAATGCAGAGTATTAAGGAGCTTTCCCTACAGCAACAGGCTTTCTTAAAGAAGAGGTTCTATATATAGTAGCACTACTGACTGGTAGAGCAGTATTTGTTTCACAGCATTTCCTAATGACGCGTATCTTTCTGTGCCTTCTGAGGTGGTCCACAGAGATGTCTGCAGACTAACTTTAGTTTCCTTTTGTTAAGAGAGGTTAACTTCAAATAGAGATGGGCTGTGGTCCTACACTGACTCCTAAGTGCCACCAGATAACAGTTTGATATTATATAGTATATAATATATAGTATATATCACTATAGTATATAGTGATTCATAGGTGTATATAGATACCAAGAAATCCACTGTGAATCATTTTGACATTATTATAATAAAATATGATATTATTTCACACAAATAAATTGGAAGTTTTGAAATATGGGCCACCTCTTATTAAACTGTATCAAAACTTACACAAGAAGAAATAAACTTGAACAGTCTTATAATCTTTTACATAGATGGAAGCATAATAAAATAATCTCATAGCACAAAATGAAGCTTAGTGGCTCCTCTGGCAAATTATATGAAATATTCTGGAAAACTAGTTCATATTCATGGAGATTCTTTAAGAGAATGGAAAAAGGATATACATACGTGTGTGTGTGTGTGTGTGTGTGTATGTAGACAGACACTCTTTAGCTCATTTCATGTAGCTACCATAGCACTGATACCAAAATCTGACAAAGTATAAAGAATTGAACTTACAGGCCAATCTTTTATGGATGTCAATATCAAAATCCTGTACAAAATATTGGCAAAGTGAGTGGAGCAATACATGAAGATCTTAATCCAGGAACGCAAGGTTTGTTCAACATCAGAGCATTAGAAAAATCAATCTGTAACATTAAGAAGCTAAAAGAGAAAAAGCATATTTCTGCCTTAAAAAATGCAGAATAAAAGTGCTTGATAAAATGTTTATATCATATCTAGATTGAGTTTTATAAAATACAGCATATATTCATTTTGATAACTTCTTACTGAACTAGTAATAAACAGATAGTTCCTTAATTTGATACAGAGTACTAAAGAAAACAACAGCAAACATCACACTTACAGGGAAACCTTGAAAGTTTTTCTTTTCATTGGAGCATTTCAAGTGGCTCCACTATCACAACTTATGTCCAATATTGTAGAGACTGTCAGGAAAAATATACAGTAAAATTTAGATAAAGCAAAAAGTGAGTTCCTAGAGGATAACATTATTAATGCAGAAAGTAGAAAGAATTTTTAAAGTTAGTAAGAAAGTTAAGAATAAATGCCACATACAGAATACACAGAAAATGCTTCTATGTTGATGTACTAGCAACTGAGAGTCAGAAAATGATACTTTAAGACAATTAAATAACATCAGAAGTGTCAGACTTCTGATTCCATGTCTAATAAAATGTGTTTAAGGCTTCCAGGAGAGGATATTATTAAACATTTTAGGGAGACAATGAGGGTCTAGATGAACAGTGAGCTATACACGGAGGGGGGGGCACAAAGATGTTCATTCCTACTCACAGTCCTGGAGAAGGACATGGCAGCCCAGTCCAGGTATTCCTGCCTGGAGAATTCCATGGACAGAGTGGACATAACTGAGCACATACCAGCAATCAGAATCCAGAGAGAAGTGCTTCTGTGGGTGTGTCAAAATTGACAGGTTGATTCCGGGGGTCAAGTGGAATTCAAGCACTCGTAAAATGACAGCATTTGATCTGTAAGATATCAAACATTATAAAATTACAGTAGTGAACAGCTGGGTTTCAGTGCAGGGATAAATACAAAGAAATAGAATAGTGAGCTCTGACACAGCCCTGCATTTAACCAAACTCTCCCATCCCTTTTCTGTTTTCTAACTATGTAGTGCTACTGTGTGGTGTAGAAAAAGAGTAATTTTTTTCATAAACTGTGCTAATACCATATAACCATATATATATTTGTATCTACTCCTCTATAATAAAAATTAACATCATACTCACAGCAGACATGGACACCAACTCCAGGTGAGTTAGAGACTCCAATATAAATGTTAAAACAAGCTCTTAGCAGCTAATATAGATTATTTAATGACCTGATGGTAATAAAAGATTTAAGCAGTATATAAATGTATTAATCACAAAGGATACATTTTTAAAATTAATTAATTTTAATTGGAGGATACTTACTTTACAATATTGTGGTGGTTTTGCCATGCATTGACGTGAATCAACCATGGATGCACATGTGTCCCCCATCCTGAACCCCACTCCCACATCCCTCCCCACCTCATCTCTCTGGGTTGTCCCAGAGCCACCAGCTTTGAGTGCCCTGCTTCAGGCATCAAACTCGCACTGGCCATCTATTTTATATATAGTAATATACATGTTTCAACACTGTTCTCTCAAATCTTCCCATCCTCATCTTCTCCCACTGAGTCCAAAAGTCTTTTCTTTACATCTGTGTGTCTTTTGCTTCATTGCATATAGGATCACCGCTACCATCTTTCTAAATTCCACATACATGCATCAATATACTATATTGGTGTTTCTCTTTCTGACTTACTTCCACTCTGTATAATAGGTTCCAGTTTCATCCACCTAATTAGAACTGACTCAAATGTGTTCCTTTTTATAGCTGAATAATATTCCATTTTGTATATGTACCACATCTTTCTTATCTATTCATCTGCCAGTGGAGATCTAGGTTGCTTCCATGTCTTCAGTTCAGTCCAGTCACTGAGTTGTGTCCAACTCTTTGTGACCCCATGGACTGCAGCACACCAGGCTTCCCTGTCCATCACCAATTCACAGAGCTTGCTCAAACTCGTGTCCATCGAGTTGGTGATGCCATCCAACCATCTCATCCTCTGTCATCCCCTTCTCCTCCTGCCTTCAGTCTTTCCCAGCATCAGGGTCTTTTCCAATGAGTCAGTTCTTTGCATCAGGTGTCCTAGCTATTGTAAACAGTGCTGCGATGAACATTGGGGTACACGTGTCTCTTTCAATTCTGGCTTCCTCAGTGTGTATGCCCAGCAGTGGGATTGCTGGGTCATATTGCAGTTCTGTTCCCAGTTTTTTAAGGAATCTTCATAGTGGCTGTACTAGTTTGCATTCCCACCAACAGTGTAAGAGGGTTCCACAAAGGACAGTTGACATACTTGCCTGTGTTAAAACTCAGAACTTTATGTCAACAGAAGACACATAAAAGATAAAGAAGCAAGTGACAAAGATGGAGAAAATATTTACACACCCATCATTGTCAAAGTTCTAATATAAATATATGAAGAGCTCCTGAAAATGAAAAAGGAAAAGACAGACAATGCTACTGATAACTGGGTAAACATCTGGCAGTGATACTGCAGAAGGACAAACACCAAAAGCCAAAAAGATCAGAAATGATGCTTCACTTTGCAAGTTGTTGAAAGTGAAGTGAAGTTGCTCAGTCATGTCCGTCTCTTTGCTACCCTGTGGAGTATAGCCCACACAGGCTCCTCTGTCCGTGGGATTTTCCAGGCAAGAATACTGGAATGGGTTGCCATTTCCTTCTCCAGGGAATCTTCCCAACCCAGGGATCAAACCCAGGTCTCCCACATTGCAGGTAGATGCTTTAACCTCTGAGCCACCAGGGAAGCCTGTTAAGACTGTGCAAAAGAAAGCTCAGGAAGTACAACCATGCTCCCTACCGGCTTGCCGCCAGTTGACAACATGGAGAGCATGGAGCCTCAGGAACTCTCACGCACCGTGGGTGGGAGTGTTCTCTGTACAGTCAGGGGAGAAAGACGGCATCATCTAGGAAGGTTGAAGGGTGCATGCATCCTGATCCCACAGTTCCTCTCCTAGAGGAATATGTGTAAGGAAGAAATCTTTCCCAGAGTCTCCACTTGGAGCAGCATGCACGGAATGTATAGATCAATTGTGGGCACTTGTGGCCCAACGCAGAGCCTGGAGCAGGGCCCAGTCCCCCTTTCTGTCTGCCCAGGCCTTTTTCCCATACTGCTTCTTTCCCGGCTTAGATGCATCTCTGACCCTGTGCATCCTCCTTGTCTGCAGAGCCCATGGTGGTGTTTGCCAAGGAGCAGGCAGTGCACACGGAGGTGCAGGCCAAGGCAGGAACCAGCGCCACGCTGAGCTGCGAGGTGGCCCAGGCCCAGACGGAGGTGACGTGGTTCAAGGACGGCAAGAAGCTGAGTTCAAGCTCGAAAGTGCGTGTGGAGGCCACGGGCTGCACCCGGCGGCTGGTGCTGCAGCAGGCGGGCAAGGCGGACGCCGGGGAGTACATCTGCGAGGCCGGGGGCCAGAAGGTCTCCTTCCACCTGGACGTCACAGGTGGGTGTCAGGGCTGGATGGAGGGCGTGAGCACCCGACAAACTGGGGGGAATGAGCACATCCCCAGCAGGGTGGGGGGTGTGAGTGCATCGGATGCTGGGGCCTGGGGTCCTCTGCTGGGTTCTCCGTGGATGCGGTCAGCTCCAGGGCTCTGTCTCCTGGCAAGGCCCTTGAGTGGCAGGATGCCTGCCACAGCCCTGAGTCCAGGACACTCTTGACATCTACTCCCCCAGATTCCCGCTTCTCTCCACCACATCCGTACCTTTCCCAGCATGAAACCTGCCACAGAGGCTTTCTCAGCCATCTGCAGGCTGCGAAAGCCTGTAGTCTGTTGAAAGGGACGTTCTCTGTCTGTGGTCGGCAGGGGGCACTATTCCCATATTAAGTCTTCCTGGGCAGCTGTGGAGCCCTGCTCTGGGGAACTCCTGGCCTTGAACGTCTCTGCCTTCACTGGGTCTGGAGCCCCCGTCTCTGGGCTCGGGCCTCTGACAGTCCAGCTGTATTTAGGTCAGCCTGTTGTGCTGGCCTCTGTCCTGGGCCTGAGCCAAGCGGAGGTATTGCCTGCTTGCTCCTGTCCCTCCTGCTGCTGGTGACCTCACTGGGTTTCCAAGTCCTGAGCCCAGTGACCCTGTCTCTGTCCCCAGCTGTGGCCCTGGCATCTGATCCTGCAGCCAGGTGGCCCCTGGATCAGCCCCCCAGGGGCCCTCGTAGGTCCCCTCCCAGGCCTCCCTCTGCCCCCTTCTCTGCCCTGGCCTTTCCCCAGTGCCCGGCTGCTGGAGGCACTCAGGCTCTTCCACACCTCCCAGCCTTTGCCTGGTCTCTCCCCTCCCCACAGCGGGGCTCCTCTACTGAGCCTGTGCTGCCCGGCTGCCCTTCCGGCCCTGCTCCCTCCCGCTCTTCTGGAATTCTGGCCCAGCCCCAGGCAGCATCAGGGCCATTATGTGCCCTGATTCCCCTGCCTTAGCTGCTCACGCGGCCCATCTCCCCTTGGGCTGGGGCAGCGATCCTGGACTCCCAGCTCTTGCTGGACAGAGCTTGTGGCCCCCAGGCCTGTGGTCCAAGGGGGCTCCTCCTCACTGCCCTGTGCTGCCCCGGGAGCCTGGATGGCGCCTGGCAGGCGGACTGTGGCCCTGACACGTTCCTCTCTGGCTTGCTCAGCAGAGAGGCCGTGGTGGAGAGGCGAACAGCCTAAGCAGTTTCATCTCAAGTCTTCTCCCACCACGTGGCCTGGAGGGGGCTGGGATTCAGGCCAAGGATGAGAGGGTCCCCCGTCTAATGTTCCTTTGTTATCCCCCTGCCCAGAGCCGGAGTTTGAGCCCCCGGCCCCAGAGAAACCCAGACGCAGGGAACTGCTGGTGGTCAGGGAGCACGAGGACATCGTCCTGACAGCCACTCTGGCCACGCCCTCTGTGGCCACGGTGACCTGGTTCAAAGATGGTGTGGAGATTCGCCGCAGCAAGCGGCATGAGATGGCCAGTCTGGGAGACACCCACACCCTGACCATACGTGGGGCGCAGACCCTGGACAGTGCCGTCTACAGCTGCCGCGTGGGCGCAGAGGGGCAGGACTTCCCGGTGCAGGTGGAAGGTGAGTGGCTCCATGGGGTGGTCCTCTGGGAACCCCTTGTTGGCAGCATCCTGGAGTGGAGACCGGGTGGGGCTCCGGGCGTGCAACCAGGAGGCTCGGAGCCGGTCCCGCGGCCTGAACCCTGCCAGGCTGACGTCCCCTCCCCTCCCCTAGAGGTGGCTGCCAAGTTTTGCCGCCCCCTGGAGCCCGTGAGCGGGGATCTGGGCGGCACGGCGACGCTGGTCTGTGAGCTGAGCCCCGAGCAGGCTGAGGTGGTGTGGCGCCGCGGAAGCACGCAGCTCCGGGCCGGCAAACGCTTCCAGATGGCGGCTGCGGGGCCGCGGCGCTCGCTCACGGTGTCGGGCCTGCGGGCAGAGGATGCAGGGGAGTACGTATGTGAGAGCCGCGACGACCACACCAGCGCCACGCTCACCGTTATTGGTATGCGTGTGCCAGGTCCATGGGCTGGGTCGCTGGGGAGGGTGGGTGGCTTGGCGGCGCATTCTTGGGAGGCTTCCTGGAAGACGTGTGCTTCCGCGGAGTCTGCAAGAGGGGGAGGCCCCGCCTATCCTGTCTGTATCTCAAGTGGAGCCCCTGCCCACAGAACCCCGCGTGGTCAAGTTCACGTCTGGGCTGAGCGCTGTGGTTGCGGAGGAGGGGGGCGAGGCCACTTTCCAGTGCGTGGTGACCCCCAGCGACGTGGCGGTCACATGGTTCCGAGATGGTGTCCAACTACAGTCCGGCGAGAAGTTTCTCATATCGCAGAAGGGTGCCAGCCACAGCCTGACCATCTTAAGCCTGGCCCTGGAGGATGCCGGCCAGGTCACTGCGGAGGCTGAGGGCATCAAATCCACGGCTGCCCTCCGGGTCCGAGGTGAGCTTGTGGGGCGGCAGGGAGGGCGCGGCAGCTTCTTGTACCAGCTCCTTCTAGTGAGCTGGTTCCCAGGCGGCTGTGCTGACACACCCTGCTGCCGGCCTGGATCCAGCTCGTTGGGCTGGCTTCAGAGGCCGTGGGTTTGTCAGATGCAGTGTGGGGCCACGGGGCCAGGCACCTGCTCTGAAGGGGCGATAGTAAACTCTTGTGGTGCACACTTGGCGGGAGAGTGGGCGGAGGTCGTGATCCAGGGGGGTCTTCCTGGAGGAAAGGACCCTTCCTGAGCCCAGAGGCGAGGGGGATGGCAGGGTGGGCACACATATGCAGGTGACGGGGAAGCACCTTGCTCACTGAAGCCGGGCTGTGTGGGGAGAGCCAGAACTTTACCCCGGGGGAGCCAAGCCATCTCATGAGGAAGGGAGTAATATGGCTAGATTCAGTTCTGCCCATGGCAGAGCCTGAGTCTGGAAGGACTCCTCAAACACTTCTCTTCCTTCACGTGGTGCACCCGGGGCCTAGTTGAACAGGGACTCTGGTGCAGCTGGTCTAGGGGCTCGGAGTCTGCCTGTCTCAAGAGCTCTCTGTGTCCCGATGCTTCTGCTCACAGCCGCACTTAGGAGTTCCAGCCTCTTGTGGGCATGGCAGGAGGTTGTTCAGGAGAGCGGAGCAGTAGGTGGGAGGGCGGCTGGGAATGAAGAAGCCCTCCTGAAGTGTGGCTGTGTGTGTGCTCGGTTGTGTCCGACTCTTTGTGGCCCCGTAAGACGGTAGCCTGTCAGGCTTCTCTGTCCACGGGATTCTCCAGGCAAAAATACTGGAGTGAGCTCCCATGCCCTCCTCCAGCTGGAGTGCTGTTATTCACCCATAAAATCATACCTGCGCACGTGTGCAGCTGGGCCCTGTGTATGGCCAAGGCCTCCCCTAGCTCGGAGTCAGAATGTGGTGGAGGGCAGCTCTCTGGCCGGGGGTCAGGGGCCAGGTCCCTCTGCCTTGCTTTTCTGAGAGGAAACAGTGGCCCTGGCGATCTCCTTCCCTCATGACTCCAGAGGCTCCGGTGTTGTTCAAAAAGAAGCTGGAGCCACAGACGGTGGAGGAGCAGAGCTCAGTGACCATGGAGGTGGAGCTGACGCGGCCGTGGCCGGAGGTCAAGTGGACACGCAACGCTGTAGCACTCGCGTCGGGCGAGAAAGTGGAGATCCACGCCGAGGGCGCAAGTCACCGTCTGGTTCTCCACGGCGTGGGTTTCGCTGACCGTGGCTTCTACGGCTGCGAGACACCAGACGATAAGACACAGGCCAAGCTGACTGTGGAAAGTGAGCAGCTAAGCCAGCTCGGTCTAGGGGTTGAGCACTGAGGAGGTAGAGAGGGTAGGAGGAGAGGGGATCTCCGTCTGGGGGCAGGGCCTTGGAAAAGGGGGAAGAGGGAAGAAGACCCTGCACTCAGCCGGGGCCAGGGAGGAGGGGAAGGGAGTGAAGGGGGGGAGGCCTCCCCCCCAGGGCACCGTGAGGCTCCCGGGGGAAGTGACGGGGCCTGACCCGAGGGCCAGGGTCTCGCTGCAGAGGCTCATCCTTCCCCTCGTTTGTCCTGCAGTGCGCCAGGTCCGGCTCGTGCGGGGCCTGCAGGCCATGGAGGCGCAGGAGCAGGGCACAGCCACCATGGAAGTAGAGCTGTCCCACGCGGACGTGGAGGGCAGCTGGACTCGAGACGGTCTTCGGCTGCAGCCGGGACCCAACTGCCAGCTGGCGGTGCACGGCCCCACACACACCCTCACGCTGTCACGGCTGCAGCGGCAGGACGGTGGCCTGGTGGCCTTCAGGGCGGAGGGCGTGCACACCTCTGCTCATCTGGCAGTCACTGGTGGGTGCTCACAGGCGGGGCAGCGCTCACTCCGGAGTGCCTGTCCGTGTCCCTGCGGTGCCAGGGAGGCGGGTGGGGAGTCGCAGGGGAGGGGACTCCTTCCTAAAACCAGCCGAGTGACTCCAGCCAGTTCAGAGCCTGTCCCCGCACAGAGGCCCTGCCTCTCAACACTTCCCTCCTGTCTTCCCAGAGCTGCCCGTGAAGTTCGTCCGCCCTCTGCAGGACGTGGTGGCCACAGAGAAGGAGAAGGTGGCCCTGGACTGTGAGCTCTCACGCCCCAACGTGGATGTGCGCTGGTTGAAGGTGCCTGCGGACTCCTCTGCCCCCTCTTGCCTCTCACCAGGGATGGGCAAGTGTCAGACCACTCTGCTGGGCAGTGCTAGCCCTTGACCCAGCCTCATTCCTTCACAGGACAGTGTGGAGCTGCGGGCAAGCAAGACCATGGGCATGGTGGCCCAGGGGGCCTGCAGGAGTCTCGTCATTTACCGATGTGAGCTTGGAGACCAGGGCGTGTACGTGTGCGATGCCCACGATGCTCAGAGCTCGGCCTCCCTGAAGGTGCAAGGTGAGGGCTGGGAGGGTGGCTGCAAGGACCTCCTGGCCCCTACTGCATCCCCCAGCAAGTGTTTGGCCCTCTGGTTCTGCCCTTGTGCCCAGCCTGTACCCCGTCAGCAAGCTGGGCCGGGGGTGGTAGTCAGATAGGAGGTCTGTGCCTCGGGGTGTAGCAGGGCCTGCTGTGTGCCCCAGGCCGGAATGTCCAGATTGTGAGGCCTCTGGAGGATGTGGAAGTGGTGGAGAAAGAGGGCGCCACCTTCTCCTGCGAGGTCTCCCACGATGAGGTGCCTGCGCAGTGGTTCTGGGAGGACAGTAAGCTCCGGCCCAGTGACAACGTGAGGATCCGCCAGGAAGGTGAGACGGGGGCAGTGGGGGGGCCAGCAGGGGTTCTCCCCACTTCCTGCCCCCAGGCCATCCCTCCCCGTCCCCGGGCCAGCCTGCCTTTTAGTGCTGAGTGGGCTTTGTCCCCAGGAAGGACATACATTCTCATCTATCGGAGGGTCCTGGTGGAAGATGCAGGGGAAATCAAGTTTGTAGCAGAAAATGCAGAATCGCGAGCCCAGCTCCGCGTCAAAGGTAATGGGAGCCCCGGACAAGGCAGGGGCTGGACAGGGTCTGTGTGAACAAGCACATGTGCTGTCTTACGGGGCTGGAACGCCCGCTGTCTTTGTCCTGGGCTCCCTCCTGGAATGAGGTTAGAAATGACCCTGGAGGAGGGGAAGGGGTGTTCCCTCCTCAGCAGGAAGAAAGTGGAGTAGGGGAGGCAGTCTTGGGGTCTCTTTCTTTGTTTAAAATGTCATTACCAGTAAATTGTTCTTCCTGGGACCTCAGCAAATGCTGGAGAGAAAGGCCCCGGCAGGAGGTGAGCATAGCAGCCTTTTCTGGTGACCTTGGTGACAGTCAGGATGATGGGGAGCAGGAGGGGGAAGGGGCCCGGGAGCAGGCTGGGGTAGGGGCCCACACTGCTGGGATATATATGGTGAGGACAGGGTGCAGTGGACCCAGGGGCGTGCTGAGTGAGAGCGAGGCCGTGTGGTGAGGGGATGGATGGGGTGTCGGGTGGGGCGGGCACGCACGTGCTGAGGGCCCACTGGACGGTAGCGGGTGTGTGGGGGTGTGCGCTCTGTCCTCGTGGTCAGAGGTGAGCGGTGCGTCCCAGGCCAGCCTGAGGGTGAGACTCTGCCTCGCCGCCTGCTGGCTCTGGCGGGTGGGTTGCCTGGGCTCTTTTCGGCCTGAGCGTGGGGTCCCAGTTTGGCTGGTGGGAAGATGCACAGCCAGAGCACCGCGTCCTGGGGTTCAGGCTCGCTGTGCGCCCACTCTGACCCCGCGGGGTGGACCCCCAGAGCTGCCCGTGTCCATCCTTCGCCCACTGCGGGATAAGATTGCGATGGAGAAGCACCGCGGCGTGCTCGAGTGCCAGATGTCCAGGGCCAGTGCCCAGGTGCGGTGGTTCAAGGGCAGCGTGGAGCTGCATCCCGGGGCCAAGTACGAGATGGTCAGCGACGGCCTCTACCGCAAGCTGGTCATCAACGCTGTCCAGCCCGAGGACGAGGACACCTACACGTGCGATGCCGGCGACGTGAAGACCAGTGCACACTTCTTCGTAGAAGGTTTGGGCAGGGCCGGGTGGAAACTGTTCCTTTTTTCCCTAGGAGAGGGTTTGTGGCCTGTGGCACTTGGAAGCTTGAGCTTCCCAGATGGCGCTAGTGGTAAAGAACCCACCTGCCAATGCAGGAGACGTAAGAGACCTGGGTTCGATCCCTGGATGGGGAAGATCCCCTGGAGGAGGGCAGGGCAACCCACTCCAGTATTTCTGCCTGGAGAATGTTGTGGACGGAGGAGCCTGGCAGGCTACAGTCCATAGGGTTGCACAGAGCTGGACACAGCTAAAGCGACTGAGCATCCAGCTCTGAGGAGGGCCTCGGGGTGCTCCCAGGAGGATGTGAGTGTGTCTGAGAGGGTTTGTTCCCAGGAGCAGGGGGGAGGGGGGCGGGCGCGGCTCGTGACCCTCCCACGGGACTGCCCCGCTGACTGGCCCTCATCCACAGAGCAGTCCATTGTGATCGTGCGGGGCCTGCAGGATGTGACGGTGATGGAGCCGGCGCCCGCCTGGTTCGAGTGTGAGACCTCCATCCCCTCGGTGCGGCCCCCCAAGTGGCTGCTGGGAAAGACGGTGCTGCAGGCGGGGGCTGACGTGGGGATAGAGCAGGAGGGCACGGTGCACCGGCTGACCCTGCGGCGCACCTACTCCACCATGACGGGGCCGGTGCACTTCACCATCGGCAAGTCACGCTCCACCGCCTCCCTGGTGGTCTCTGGTGAGAGGACCCTGCCCGATGGCTCGGTGGAGGGTGGACAGGGCCTGGGCGAGCAGGGCTTCTGGCCTCATGGTCTGGCCCACTTTATGCCTGCTTCCCTCTTTGCTCCCGCCACAGACGTTCCCGTGGTGCTCACACGGCCCCTGGAGCCCAAGGTGGGGCGGGAGATGCAGTCTGTCATCTTGTCCTGTGACTTCAAGCCTCCCCCCAAGGCTGTGCAGTGGTACAAGGAGGACACGCCCCTGGCACCATCCAGCAAGTTCAAGATGAGGCTGGAGGGCCACATGGCAGAGCTGCGTGTCCTGCGGCTCACCCCTGAGGACGCCGGTGTCTACCGGTGCCAGGCTGGCAGTGCCCAGAGCAGCGCGGAGGTCACCGTGGAAGGTAGAGAGGGGCGTGGGCCCCAGAGGGTCTCTGGGAGGTCTCTGTGGAAAGTCGAGAGGGGGCATGGGCTGGGCCCCAGAGGGTCTCTGGGAGGTCACCGTGGAAGGCAGAGAGGGGGCGTGGGCCCCAGAGGGTCTCTAGAGGAGGCAGCAGCAGCAGTCAGGCTGAAGCTGCCTCATGCTCCCGGCAGAACGGAAGGTGACGGTGACGCAGCCACTGGAGGACGTGGAGGTCGTGGAGGAGGGCCGTGCCTGCTTCTCCTGCGAGCTGTCCCATGAGGATGAAGAGGTGGACTGGTTGCTCAATGGGACGCCGCTGTATAACGACAGCTTCCACGAGATCACCCACGAGGGCCGCCGCCACACGCTGGTGCTGAAGCGGGTCCGGCAGGCTGACAGGGGCACCGTGAGCATCTCCTCCCCCAAGGTTGCGGCCTCCGCCCACCTGGCGGTCAGAGGTGAGGTGGCTGTGTGTGGCCCATGGGGACCCTTGGGACACGCACCCTTTGCCCGGGGGGCCAGAGGCGGCAGGTGGCCCCCTGAGACACCCACCCTCTTCCTGCAGGGAAGCCGGTGGTGTTCCTGAAGGCCTTGGACGATGTGTCTGCAGAGGAGCGGGGCACACTGACCTTGCAGTGCGAGGTGTCTGATCAGCACGCCCACGTGGTGTGGCGGAAGGACGGCGTGGAGTTGGGCCCCAGTGACAAGTACGACTTCCTAAACACGGCGGGAACGCGAGGCCTCGTGGTGCACGGCCTGACTCGGGATGATGCCGGCCTGTACACCTGCGACGTGGGCACTGATGAGACCCGTGCTCGTGTCAGCGTGCATGGTGCGTGCGGCGGCCAGCTGCAGACGGTGGGGCGTGGCTCCGGGGTCAGCGTGCGTGGTGCGTGCGGCGGCCAGCTGCAGACAGTGGGGCGTGGCTCCGGGGTCAGCGTGCGTGGTGCGTGCGGCGGCCAGCTTTAGACAGTGGGGCGTGGCTCCGGGGTCAGCGTGCGTGGTACGTGCGGCGGCCAGCTGCAGACGGGGCGTGGCTCCGGGGTCAGCGTGCCTGGTGCGTGCGGCGGCCAGCTGCATACAGTGGGGCGTGGTTCTGGGCATGCCTGCGCTCGGGGGACCCACCCACTCTCAGACACCAGGGTCTGCTCTGCTGAGCCTGGAGAGATCAGGGCAGACTGCTGAAGGAGTGGGCTCGACAGGGTCTTAGAAGGTTCAGGTGCAGGCAGGTGGACCAGGGGTAATAGGCAACAGAGCAAAGCCTGGGAGATAGACTGGCCCTACTTGATTGAGTCCTAGGGGGTAAGGGATTCAGCTGGAGGCTGGAAACTTCCCTCTGTACCAGGGGATGTGTGGGCAGGCCCAGGGGCCCCAGAGGGAGGCGTCAGGAGGGTGGTGCGTGGGAGAGGCTGCGATATCAGGCAGGGGGTGCCCCCGGAGGACTGCCAGGCCATGGCGCAGCCTGATGAAGGTGCCTCTGGGCAGGTCACCTTTCTCTTCCCAGGCTCCCTCCAGCCGGGGTATGGTTCCGATGTGTACCTGATGTCCCGTGTATGTCTGTCCTGACTCCATTCCCCTAGTCCTTTTCTCTCTTATGTGTTGGGCAGGTGTGTTCCCCAGTGACCCCCTGGCTGGTCCGTGATAGTCTGGCCAGTTTGTGATGAGATGGGGAGGGGAAGGGTGGTGTGGTGAGCTGGATTCCCTTTCATTTGGGGGAGCTGTTCTTTTTATGGAGTGTGTAAGCTGGTGGCCACTGGGTAGTGCTTATTCTCTCCATGTTATTCTCTAGCAAATGTGAAGGGAGTCACCCTGGTTGCCACTCACAGCCATTTCAGCCATCTGAGTGCCAGGGTCTGGACAGCAGGAGGCCAAGAGGACACTTGCTGAGAGAGGCAGCAGGCCTTCTGGGAGTGGGGTTAGAGAAGGGGGTATGCATGTCATCCAGAGGTGTGCCCCCTCCTGGGGTCTAGCCTGAGGCTGCTATCAGCTTGGTGGCACCTGTCTCATGGGGCAGGCCTCCTTGGGCCCAGCCGGCATGACAGCTGTCTCCCGTGGCCTGCAGAGCTGCACGTGGGCATCACCAAGAGGCTGAAGACGGTGGAGGTGCTGGAGGGCGAGAGCTGCAGCTTCGAGTGCATCCTGTCCCATGAGGACACTGGCGGTGTGGCTGAGTGGACAGTGAGCGGGAGAACAGTGGGCAGCTCTGGCCGCTTCTGTGCCACGCGCCAGGGCCGCAAGTACACTCTAGCTGTCCGAGATGCCGTGCCAAGTGATGCTGGGGAGGTGGTCTTCTCTGTGCGGGGCCTCACCTCCAAGGCCTCACTCATCGTCAAAGGTGGGTGAATGCTGGCAGCGGGGACTGACTGGCTTGGGCAGGTCAAGGGGCTGTGTCCAGGGGCTGTTTTGGGAGCTTCGGAGCCTGGGTTCTCCCCAGGAAGCCTGGAGCCAGGGTCCTGGGCTCGAAAGCTGCAAGGACGTGTGTCTGTATGTCTAGCGACTGTCTCCCCAGCCCCTGCTGAGCACCTCGAGGTATCTGTTGGAGTACTGGGGGGTTCTGGTTATCCAGACGTTCATGGACGACCAAGATTACCCTTTAGGATGAGGTTCTGGAGCCTTTGGGCAGGAGCAGGTTTTGTAATCCTCAGCCCGTGTTTCAACTGCCGTGGTAGCTCCCAGGGTGCATGGCTCATGTTGGTAGTGAAATTGCCATTGAAATTTATGAGCTGCTACTTCCAGCATAAATACTTGGTGCCAATGGGTAAAGCTCAGCCCGTGGCCATGCTTTGAGTTCCAGAGCTTTGAACAGTGGTGAGAACCTAAGATTCTGTGGTCTAACAGCTCTCTTTCCCAGGGTCATCCCCTGGCATTCCAGAGCTCTGAGGTCCCTAGGCCTGAGGTTTCAGAGTTGGAAGTTTTAGAGCTGTAGGTTCTGTGGTCTCAGCCTCCAGAGCTTGAAAGCTCTTGAATGCTTGCCCTGTCTTAACCCCAGGCATGGCTAGGGCCATGGTCGTGGATGGAGCTCTGGCCAGGCCTTATCAGGCACCATGTCTGTTCTTTTCAGAGAGGTCAGTTGACATTATGAAGCCACTGGAAGACCAGCAGGCCACACTGGGTGAGGATGTGGTGCTGAGGTGTGAGCTGTCGCGGGAGGGGACCCCAGTGCACTGGCTGAAGGATGGGAAGGCCATCCGCAAGAGTCAGAAGTACGACCTGCTCACCGAAGGCACTCGGGCCTCACTGGTCATCCATGCAGTCTCACTCAAAGACTCGGGCAAATACACATGTGAGACGGAGTCTTCCAAAAGCACAGCCAGTCTCCGAGTGGAAGGTAAACCCCATGAGCGCCTGGGGCTGCCCCAGGTAGGAAGGGAGAGGCACCCGGCAGAGAAGGGACTCGTCCAGGTCCCTGAGGGTCTGGGGTGGGCCTGGAGAACCACCTGTGATGGGAATGATTTCCCATCCTGAGGGCCTGCGTGGCATCTGCACCGGCCTCACCCTCCCATTTGTTCCTGCTCTTCCACCAGAAAAGGCAAACCGGTTCACAGAGCCGTTGGCTGACCTGCATGTGGAGGAGAAGGGCACAGCCACGTTCACCTGCAAGACGGAGCGCCCCGCGGGCTCGGTGACCTGGCGCAAGGGCCTCACGGAGCTGCGGGCCTCGGGGAAGCACGCGCCCAGCCAGGAGGGCCTGACCTTGCGGCTCACCATCAGCGCCCTGGAGAAGGCAGACAGTGACACCTACACCTGCGACATTGGCCAGGCCCAGTCCCAGGCTCGGCTGCTGGTGAAAGGTTAGGCGCGGGCACTCTGCTGTTGCTCGCGTTTGCCCGCTAGATTTCAAGGCCGGTGGCGTGCTCAGCTGTAAGCGCCGTTTAAAGTAGATTCGGAGGTGGGCAGAGATCAGAGCTCTGCCTGGCCCTGGACTGACTCAGCCTTGGTTTCCCCATTTCCAAGGAGGGTTGCCCTGGGCGGTCTTGTCGCTGGGCCTGGTGTCAGTGAGTTGGCACCCCTGGTTGTGCGTTTGTTTGCTGGGTGAATGTTTCTGGAGCCCTTCCAGCATGTGTCCACGCCTGGGCTCTGCACGTACTTACACATGAAGGTACCCCCTCTACCCCTGTGCCGAGTCACTGGCTCAGTGAGGTCTTCCGGTTTGAACATCGGTTTTCCCCTGGCCAGCAGGACGAGGGTTGTCATTCTCCTGCTACACTGATAAACACACTGGGGCTTCACTGGGGCTTATTGGTTGCTCCAGGGTTGCAGGGCAAGTAGGTGTCAGGGCTGGGTTGAGCCTAGCCCTGCTGATCCCAGGGCTGGCATCAGGGTGAAGTCAGCTGTAGGTCCTTCCTGCGATCTGTCCATAGAAAATAACAAAGAAGCCCCACTCTTGATCTCTTCCTCTTTTTCAGTGAAAAACAGTGAATTCACTGAGCTCAGTGAAAACATTTCATTAGTGCAGTGGAAGCACAGCTGTTTAATCTAAAGTGAATGTTAATACTTAAAAAGGGCAATTAAAGCAAGTGTCCAGACTTCCCTGGTGGTCCAGTGGTTGAGAATCTGCCTTGCCATGCAGGGAATATGGGTTCAATCCCTGCTCGGGGAACTAAGATCCCACATGCCTTGGAGCAGCTAAGTCTGCATGCCACAATTACTGAAGACCCCATGCTAAGACCTAATGCAGCTAAATAGATGGTAAATAAATAAATGTATGCGTTATAAAAGTGGGGCTTCCCTGGTAGCTCAGTCTGTAAAGAATCTGGGTTTGATCCCTGGGTTGAGGAGGTCCCCTTGAGAGGGAAATGGCAACCCATTCCAGTGTCCTCACTTTGAAAGTCCCATGGACAGAGAAGCCTGGCAGGCTGCAGTCCTTGGGGTCGCAAAGAGCAGGGCCCAACTGAGCGACTAACACACAATTATAAAAGGGAGTGTACCATAATAACAACATACAGTCTTTGGACAAATTCAGAACACACAGGCTTGTGCCAGGCTAATGCTTCCTGCCAAAGCCTTTTCGTCGTGTCAGTTCATGAATCACAACTGACACACAAAGATGAGATCAGTGCCTATCTCCTTTTGAATAAATCACTCTCCTGATGTGCCATCTGATGTTGTCAATGTGCTGCGCTCAATATGCCAGCAAATTTGGGAAACTCAGCAGTGGGCACAGGACTGGAAAAGGTCAGTTTTCATTCCAATCCCAAAGAAGAGCAATGCCAAAGAATGTTCAGAGTACTATACAGTTACACTCATTTCACATTGGGCTCCCCTGGTGGAGACCTGGGTTTGATCCCTGGGTCACAAAGATCCCCTGGAGGAGGGCATGGCAGCCCACTCCAGTACTCTTGCCTGGAGAATCCCGTGGACAGAGCAGCCTGGCGGGATGCAGTCCACAGGGTTGCACGGAGTCGGACATGACTGAGCGACTAAGCAGCAGCAGCTTAAGGTTCTGCTCAAAGTCCTTGGAGCCAGGCTTCAGCAGCATGTGAACCGAGAACTTCCAGATGACAAGCTACACGGGAACCAGAGATCAAATTGCCAACATTCGCTGAATCATAGAGAAAGCAAGAAAATTACAGAAGAACACCTACTTCTGCTTCATTGACTACGCTAACGCCTTTGCCTGTGTGGATCACAACAAACTGTGGAAAATTCTTAAAGAGATGGGAATACCAGACCACCATACCTGTCTCCTGAGAAACCTGTATGCAGGTCAAGAAGCTGCGGTTAAAACCGGACATGGAACAAGGAACTGGTTCAAAATTGGGAAAGGAGTGCATTGTATATGGTCACCCTGCTTATTTAACTTATATGCAGAGTACATCATGTGAAGTGCCAGGCTGGATGAAACACAAGCTGGAATCAAGATTGCTGGGTGAAATATCAATAAGCTCAGATATGCAGATGACACCACTCTAATGGCAGAAAGGGAAGAGGAACTAAAGAGTCTCTTGATGAGGGTGAAGGAGGAGTTTGAAAAATCTGGCTTAAAATTCAACATTCAAAACTAGGATCATGGCATCTGGTCCCATCACTTCATGGCAGATAGAAGGGGAAAAAGTGACAGATTTTCTTTTCTTGGGCTGCAAAATCACTGTGGACGGTGACTGCAGCCATGAAGTTAAAAGACGCTTGCTCCTTGGAAGGAAAGCTATGACAAACCTAGACAGCATATTAAAAAGCAGAAACATCACTTTGCTGCCAAAGTCCATACAGTCCAAGCTATGTTTTTTCCAGTAGTCATGTATGGATGTGACAGTTAGACCATTAAGATGGCTGAGTGTTGAAGAATGGATACTTTTGAATTGTGCTGAAGAAGGCTCTTGAGAGTCCCTTGGACTGCAGGAAGATCAAATCAATCAATCCTAAAGGAAATCAACTCTCAATATTCATTGGAAGGACTGATGCTGAAGCCAAAGCTCTAGTATTTGGCCACTTGGTGTGAAGAGCCGACTCATTGAAAAAGATCCTGATGCTGAGAAAGATTGAAGGCTAAAGGAGAAGGGGGTGGCAGAAGATGAAATGGTTAGATAGCATCACTGACTCAATGGATATGAATTTGAGCAAACTCAGGAAGACGATGGAGGACGGAGGAGCCTGGTGTGCTGCAGTCCACGGGGTCACAAAGATTCAAACACACTTAGGGACTGAACAACAGCAAGAACAGATGTGCCGTCTATGCTTTCTGGTATGCAATAGCTTCAAGACACCTGTGAATGCAGAAGGAATCTGGCAGCCAGTCAGTATTTATGACTTCTTCAGCTTTCACCATACCTAGTTCAGTTCAGTTCAGTCGCTCAGTCGTGTCCGACTCTTTGCGACCCCACGAATTGCAGCACGCCAGGCCTCCCTGTCCATCACAAACTCCCGGAGTTTACTCAAACTCATGCCCATCGAGTCGGTGATGCCATCCAGCCATCTCATCCTCTGTCGTCCCCTTCTCCTCCTGCCCCCA